TAGGCGCGGAAGGAGAACTCTGGCCCCAAGGGGGACGCTCGCTCCTCCTCTTCTTCCTCCTCTTCCACCACCTCCTCCTCCTCCTCCTCCTCCTCCTCCTCCTCCTCCTCCTCCTCCTCCTCCTCCTCCTCCTCCTCTTCCTTCTCATCCTTTTGATCCTTCTCATCATCTTTCTCCTCCTCATCATCATCATCCTCTTCCTCCTGCTCCTCCTTTTCCTCCTCCTCCTCCTCCACCTCCTCCTCCCCTCCTCCTCCTCATTTCCACACTTTTTCCTTGCAAGTGCCCCCCCGCCGTCGCGCCTCCGGATGCGCCGGGAGAGCGGGCCGGCGTTTCGCCCGAAGCATTTTCACAAGGCGTGGTTTTGAAGCTTAGTTTGGATGATTATGGTCCTCCTGCTTTACTCTGGTTTTACTCTGGTCGCGATGCACCCTGGGTGCACCCTGGGTTTGCTCTGGTCCCCTTCCGCTGGGAGCACGTGGCGCAGCCCCTGCCAAGAACGGGGGACGGCCCTCCCAGCGGGTGCCCTTACCGGGTACTGGTGATCCGCCCAACAGCAGAATCGTGGGCCTGGGAGCGGAGGGGCAAATAGCCCCAGAGGCCCGAGGCGTCGATGGCCTTGGGGATCGAGGATCGAGTCAGGCTCGAAGGTGGAAGTCCAACGAGGAGGAGGAGGAGGAGGAGGAGGAGGAGGAGGAGGAGGAGGAGGAGGAGGAGGAGCAGCAACATCCACTGCTCGTTCAGAGCACGATGGCAGCTACAGTGACAACAGCGGCGACGACTACAAGTACACTTCGACGCCCCTTACACTTACGTCCCTACCACCATACAAGGGACACGACATGCACTGCCCAACTGGCTTAACCGCATACAGCGCCAAGGACAGGCACGATAACGACGACAGCGACAACGAGAACTGGCACGACGCAGTCTACTACCATGCAGACAACAGCACCTACACCTACCGATTCCCAACCAATCACCTGTTGTTGCTTGGCTTGCACAGATACCAAGACAGGTACAATCACGAGAAATTCATCAGCAACAATCACCGGCACGCCTTACCGCATCCACCGCTCATGCCCGACCCACATGCGACGCGGCTCTCAACATTCAAGCTCCCACCAACTGAAACGACGAGATATCTAATTCTCAACGACGCCAAGCCAGCAGACACACCATCCACCATGGCGACCACGACCATACGATCAACGACGATTCCTGCTGGGACTTAGCGTACAGGACCTCGCAGAGCACTACTCACACAAACGAGGACTTTAGATCAGCAGTCAACTTCACCAACAGACATCTCACCTCCTTGATTCAAACACCTACAACGACAATGAACGACACAATTAAGCAAGCCATCATCATGGTCTCACAATGGCTGCACTCATGCCACGACTACGAAGACGAAATGAAATACGACTGGTCAGCACGCATGCACGACACAACACGGCCTTTGCAGCAAATATGCAACCCAGTCGACACGTTACGAAACGACCGCCACCTCCCCGCAATTGCATCAAGCTCCTCAAGCAGCGACAGCTCATCCGAAGACCTGCCACTGCCAGCACAAAAAAACAGCTACTGCCAGACAACAGCAAGCCACTACCACGCCTGACCAACAACCAACAGATACTAATACACCTACCACGCAGCAGTCCAGCACTGCCCGAGCGATCAGCAGCCCAATCCACCCACCTCCGCCAAGACTCAAGATCCCAGTGATCTGTCCACCTCCAAAGCAACAATGGCACAGAGATGGCTCACCAAGATACCGACAGCAGTGCGAGCATTGCAAACAGATGCCGCCTTGCAGATCTGCTTCCGACCAAAAGCATTACCGATCCACCTCCAAGACGGTCAAACAGGACCAACCACGGCACCCCAACACATTGACCACATCGAAACGCAGTACGTCGAAGACGGCAACGATGAGATATTATCGCAGCACCTGGACACAATACGGTACCACTAGCAGCAATTTCAACAACTTTTGACAGAAGGACGACGGCGCAACCTATGCAATGCAGAACTACGGCAGCGACAGGAAAGTACCACGGCAATGGCAGCACCAACCATGCCTAAGCCCAAGTTCCCAGCACCAGAGCACAAAGCACCACCAACATCGAAAACAGGGTTCCCCACGAGACAAGCAGATGGTGGAGACGACTGGGGATAGCACAAGTTCCCCGCACAGGCGATCCACGCCACGGCAAAGTGGTGCAAGATATGCGGACTGGAATAGTAGCTTTACGACCTCACATCTTCTACCACCACTGGTTCATCAGGCACGGCAGGCGACAAAGCTAATGAGATACTGGAAGCTGTCTACGACCTCACAGCCTCCACCTCAGCCATTGCCAGAACTATAAGGTCTACCAGCACAAGGATTACTGACCCCCCCCACTCCCTACTCCCGCAGTTGACTTGCTTACGTATGTATATCTAAGCTCACTGCCCTAGCCCCGCATATCCCGCGCAGGGATGTCACCCTATGTCATTCCCATTCCGATTCCCACCATTGTTCGCGCAAGGCCCCCCTTGCCGTCGTCGTTTGCGCCCGCTGTCTCGGTCGTCTCGCCTCTCCCTCTCCTCTCGCATTTCCCTTGCCTTTCGTTGGCCGTTGGCCTCTCCTCCCCGCCCGGGGTAGCCCCCCGCTGTTGGCTGGTGAACGGCGAGCGCCCGTGCGCCCGTTTGTGGACACATGGGAGTTCAGCAGGCGCCTCCTTCGACTGGTTGCCTCCCCTGCTCCCCCCTCTCCTCGCCCGCCGTTGCTGCTTCGATGGCGGGCCGTACACCGTGCTCACGCCTGGAACTCTTTCCTCATCTGTTTTTTGTTTGGATCTAAAGCCACAGGCCAGCCTGTTCGGTACCATCCTGAAAAGTCAGCGCCATGTTGACGCCACCAGATTGCCCCGCGCCGCATTTCTGCTTCGCACCGGTGGGCTGCATGCGGGGTTGAGGAGAGTTTTGGGCCAGGAGTAGACACGTACTTCGACAGTGGGGGCATGTTGCCACCTGTTGTGGTTTGCCGTTTGCGTTTTGCGCATTTCTTTTCTTCCAGTGCATTGCAGCCCGCAGTCGCATATTATCTGCTGTCTGTTACTCTTAGCCTCCGTATCCCTTTACGCGCACCACCCGTACATTCTACCTCCTACCCCACCGGTCTATGAGTCGGTGAAGGCGCATCACTCCACCGAGGAATCAAAGAGCGGGCATATTTTCGGTTAATTGGAGACTTAACAAAACCATGGGGACATGTTCAAATTGTTGCTCGTACTAGGCCAGCCTTTACCGACCTGGCCAGCCTGCTAGTTCACAGCATAGAACCTTCGCTTCACTGCGCGATTCACAGTACATTATTACGCCTAACTCTGGCGCTCTGCCCACTTATGCAAACCTTCGTTGACATATATTATCGAGGCTTGGTGCTGGATCTTCTCATGGGCGAGAGGAGGCAGATACTTGGGGGAGGCGAGGGAAAAAGTGCACCCAGACGCAACCGTATCGGAGGGCGCGGCCAAGCTGATGCCATGCACCACTCTCATCCAAACTTCGGCATCCCAGCTCTCATGCTCCTCCTATCTATTTCCTCACACGGACCAGCCAGTACCTACCTGGCCAGCCGACTACCAGCTTGCGGGTAGCTCTACCGTTCAGCCTGGTTTTGTTTTACCTCCAGCGTCACATCCTCTATTCTTCCTGAATAACTATGGGCCGCTTGTGCCACCATTTGCTGTTCCTTTCAAGATAGCTTTGCTGCCATCCTTGAGCTGAAAGCAGAATCGGGCACGGGTGGGTGAGCAGGTGGGAGCGGCCGAGTCTCATTTTACACTGACTGCCAGGCTGCTCTCCCAGCATTTGCACGCGTATTTCTTTTACTTTGTTTGGTTTCCTCCTTTGGGTATCAGCTATGATGGATCGGTCCTTCTCCACTCCACTATGCGGCCTGGCGGGCTCACACTCTATGGCCTTAAAGCCTTCGTCCTCTTCTCGCACCTCTCAGCCTTACCTTTTCAGCTGCGGCCGCCAGGCTTAATTAGTTTGCTCTCTGTCTAAGTAGACTCACTGTATTTTTCTTCACACCCTGAACGCAACGATCTCTGGTCCACGTTTGTACAACGTCAAAAAAAAGGGGGAGGAGGAGGAGAAAGAAGAAAGAGGAAACACTCCGTGGGGACCAAGTTCGTCCATCTACTAGACATTCGAAGGCCCAGAGGCGATCCTCAAGAGGAGGATCCAGAACGCCTGGGGACGCTAGCCCCAAAGCTACAACGAAAACTGTTGTACTGCCCGGGCCCCAAGCCTGAGCACGAGTTACCCGAGCCAAGGCCCACGGACTCCTCTGCACAATCACCCTCTACGTACCATTGCTAAGACATGTTCGCTCCTGCCACCGTGCTGTCCCCTCCTCTACTCCTAAAGCTATCAAGTCTTGTTCCACTTCACGGCCCCCCTCGGGGGCCTTCACCTCCGTGCCTCATCACATACCTACGCGCCGCAGAGCTCTCCGAAATCTTTGCACCTCGGATCATTGTCTCCAAAAAAGGGGGGCCGAAACACTCCGCATCGTCATCTGTGACCCTCTCGATCCTGAAGAAACCCTCGACGGCGACACCCTCCTCATTGGCACATGTGATCCCGTAGATCCCGAAGAAAACCTCATAGGCGAAATACTCCTCCTCGATGGTCCTGGGGAAAATCACCTCGGCGAAATCCTTCTCATCGGCATATGTGATCCCGAAGGTCGTGAAGAAATTCTCATAGGCGAAATTCTCCTCGGAGCTGGTTCACCTGCGCCGAAAGGCGCCGTCTCCCGCTGGCTGGTCTGCACACTCGGGTCGGGACTGTGAGCTATCTCTGGGGTTGTCGGTCTTCTCGCATGTGACTCGGCCGTCATCGAATTCTTCACCGCCGTCGAAAAACTGCAATCGATTCCTGACGATCCGAAGAAAGAGTCGTCTGTCGTGCCACGGCCTCTACGCCAGGAACACCTCCAGGCACTCCTGCAGCTCGCGCTCCATGTGGCTGGCTGGGGCCCGCCCCGACTTGAGCTCCGCGCCCAATTGCTGAAGGGCGCCGATCACCTCTTTGCGATATTCTCCGATGCAGAGGGTGATCCTGCGCTTGCCCTGGTCGTAGCACTTGTCCACTTTGGTGAAGCGAATGATGTCCATCGTCTCGTCGTACCCGAGAGTCGCGAGATGCTGCTTGAACTCCTGCAACTTGTCGAAGTTCTGCTTGCCTATGCGCTGCTGCCGCAGTTGGAGCGCCTCCAGCAACCCCCGAACACGTATAGGTGGGGCGTTCCCAGCCCGTGGCCTTCGTGTTCGGCTTGCACGTGGTTGTTGTAGGCCGCGCTTTGTTCCTGCATCTTCAGTACCTCGGGGAGGTCCGATGTGACGATCAGCACGTCGAAGAGCACCCCCTCTATGTTCCGACGGCTCTGGACGAGCGACAACAACATGGTCATCATCAGCGCGTACAGGGATTTGTTGTTGGCGCTGACGCCTGCGCAGCTCTTCTGGGCGGGCTGTTGGCCGTTCGCGCCCTCGAGGCGTCTGACCTGGCGCTCGAACGTATCGTTCTTCTCCAAGCCGTCGGCGCCGCCGCCGGCTGCCAGGACCAGCGACGTTCCAGGGTCTCCCCGCGCGGTCGAGTGGGCGCCCCCGTTGCCCTCGAGGCTGCACTACAATGGGAGGTGGAGGGGGGTGACACTCGCCTGCGCGATCCAGATAATCGTCGAGCGTGTCAAACTCGGAGGAACGCATCAGGCACTTCAAAGACTTAGGTAAGGTAGGGTCCCAAGAGAAAGCCGTCCTCTGGAGTCTACACCTATTTGTCAGCCACACCGCACGTACGTGTTGGCGTGCGCTGTCGTTAGATGCAAACGCCGCACGGCACCATGGACACAAATTCATCAAGACAGTAGAGTGCAGAGGGTTAAGTTTACCATGTTCACATCCAACGGACCTGGATTGGTGGGCCAGTAGCCCCCCTTGAGACTCATGCTCCTGAAGGCACATATTCCCCTGAGAGTCCCCGAGGTTGCATATGTATGTAGTGGGCTCCTCGTTGGCGTCCCCCTCCTGCTCAAAGGCCCTCGCAGGGCCCCCTAGTCGGCTTGGAAAAAAACTCTTCCCCCTCAGTAAAGATCGAGGCCTTCAAGATCCTCAGGTCCACCTTCAACCAGAGCTCCCTAACCTCATCCTCCAGGAATAGAGCCATCCTTGAGTACCCCCTCCCTCTCCCAGGCCTCGAAGAAGTCCTCTGTGCCACTTATGCCAGCGAATGCCCAGAAGTCCCGCTCAATCTGGAACATCAGGGGGATGCACAACTTCGGAGCTGTCCTGCAGAATCAAGGGAAGGAGGTATGTGTCAAGGTGCCCCCAGATCGACGCGATCACTTGTTGGTGCGCGATAGCGTCCTTGGCGATTTGTTGCACCCACCCGAATCGCCTGGCCGCCTGCTCGAAGCGGATCGGAATCAGGCGCCACTTCCGCTTGGGCGTCGAATTCACAGACGAGTGCGGGTGCTCGCTTGACCAGTCTATTGCTTTGCCACGCTCCAGTGCTCTGAGGTACTTAGCCAAAAATCCGTCCAGTTGCTGGGTTTGGACCCGAGGAAACGCGAAGGGTTCGTTGGCTGAAAGCGCCGCCTCCACCACGTGGCCCCTAAAGTCCAGGATCTTCAGAGCTTGCCCGGCTTCCCCCACCCAGCATGGACGGCAGCACATCGGCAACGAAGTTCTTACAAATTCGATAGGTTCCAGGCGCATCGGATCCCAAGGTATATAGTTCTAGCTCGTGCGGAACCGTTCTTAAACTCCATCGTGAAAGCTCGATTCGCTCGATGACCACGAAGGCATGGCACCGTTTCTCGCTTGCTATAGTTTTGAACAAGACCCTCTTCTCCCAGGACTTCGTCGAGCACGGTATTGCTGCGTTTCAGTTTCTCGTCGATCGTAGTCTGCGCCACGTCATCGATCGACGTTTTGTCGAAGATACCGTCGGCGTACACAGTAGTCGCACCACAGCAGATCGAGTTATATATTCCGCACCGTAGGTGAGTGTCCGCCTCGTTCGCAGAGCCTGACTCTATCCACGATCTCATGGGGCCCCCCATCACCTTCGCGAAGACCACAGGCTCCTCGCTAGACCCCATCAGGCCCCCTCGTCGGTGTCGAACAGTGAGGTTTCGAGAATCTCGCCAAGGCCTGGTATCCCCCGCCTCGAACATCATCACTATCCCCGACGTCTGAGATCTAGAATGCATCAGGATTGCGTCCGAGGGTTGAAAAAGTTGGTCGATCGCCTCGGTCCTAGCTCGCGTCGTAGTCGAGGCGAAGGCGTTCGGCATGTCGTGCACGTGATTCAAGTGTGCTACGCGATGTATACGAAAGAAATGGCCCATACACAACTGCGCCGCTATCGCGCCCTCTCGTCGACGCCGCGGGAGAAGACATTGGGAGTCCGCCGGCCACCGTACCCCCTTCTTTTCAGGTTGTGTTTCAGTAGGCCTCCGTAGAAGCCCTTCCAGTACGGGCACATCACGTTGATCAAACGTTTCCCAAGTGTCCCCATTTTGCCATTGTGCTTCGCGATCGACACCCCCCACGCTATGTTCCCATGATCGGCGCGCGTTTCATGCGACGACATGAGATATGTAGATCTTTCGATCGTCTCGCTGATGTAGTGGATCCCGTCTGTGAGATAGGGGTGGTTCCTAATCCCAGGTGCTCTTGGGGCCCCAGGGATCTGCCGCCATCACGTGCAACTCCAGCGGGAAACTCCAAGGCGGGGCAGCTCGTCGTTTGTGACTACGGCGCAGCTGCCTCAGCGTTGATTGAATATCACGTCGTGAATCATGCCATGCTTTTCTGCTCTCCTGTCGCAGCGTTTTTTGTATCACTCTCAACTCCCCCTTTACAGCATCTGCATCGTTTTCCAACTGGTCTGAAGAAACTGTCATACTGTAGGCGAAACACTCCTCATCGGCATCTGTGATCCTGCGCTGCCCTGGTCGTAGCGGTCCACTGGTGAAGCTGAATGATGTCCATCTGTACCCGCCGCCCAACCGAATCCCCAACAACGCCAGTCGAAATGTGTGTAGCGATCTCTATTGGCAATCGACTCGCATGATCCGAAGAAAATGTAGTCTGTCGTGCATCAAGTCGTCGAAGTGCGTGTGCTTCGCCGATGTCTCGCAGTTGTACTCGAAGCTCGCTTCGCATTCGGACCAACTCTAGGCGCCGCGCTTGTAGGGCTACGACTGCAGGGTCCACCTCTTTGGGCTTCTGTGCGAAGGGTGCTCTGCCCGTCGTGCGAACTGTGTCCATCCAGCTTTGCCATGCTGGGTTCAGCTCCCCCCCTTGCAGCTGCTGCTGTATCTCGGGCTCGCGCTCGACCATCGCGCCCCTCAGGTCGTCCAGGAACTCATGCATCGCATCGTCGCGCTGGACCGCTGCAGCAAGCAAGTGTCGATCCCATCTCTCGTCCAAGCTCGCCGCAGGGTAGTAATGTTTCGCCACCGTCATATGCAGCAGCATCGGGACATGGTCTCGGGGATGTTGGGAGAGGATCAGCTGGAGGCGCTTCGCTGGGCTCTACTGAACTTTGCATGCTGACACTTGGTCTCGGAGCCCCTGAGGAATGAAGATGTCGATCGTGCTGGTATGTCCACTATGTGAGTAATATGTCGGGGCCCCCTGTCGATCAGCCGTCACTGCATCATACATTTCCAGAGGGGCCAGCAACTCATATTGGATCAGATCCCCAATCACGTTCCGCTACCCCATGTGGCATGGGCCAGCCAGGGGCCGTTCTTGTTGCCACCATGCTGCCGAGATAGACGATGAAGAAAATGCAAGCGAGCACATTCGCAGCCCATTTAAGTGTTGAAGTCCGCCGCGAAGATCGGAGTGAACTTGTTGGACGCCTTTTGAACCTGCGGGATTCCCCATCGGATCACTTGTGCGGACCCCTTCTCCAAAACCTTCCGTGTCTTTGCCGAGGCGCCCCCGATGGGGGGAACGTACATCAGAATCACGTTCAAGTCTACACTACGATTTCGGAGACGAATTGCGAGGCTTCGTCCTTGGGCCGCTGCGGGGGGGGGGGCGATGCTCCTGGCGTGTTTGGCCCTGAACATGTTCCGCACTAATAGTGTGCAGCCCGCCGAACTATTCGAGAACGGTCCTGATTTCCATCCCGCATTCAAGGCGAACGCCCCACCCCCCAAGGACATCCGTGTAACTGTGTTGCCGTTCGTCGCCCTCATGCGTGTCCCAGGGAGAAGGAAAACGTCTGCTCGAATCGTTCGCCATATATCGACTAGCCTCTGCGATTCTAGGACCGAAAGGGGGTTGCACAGCGCGATACGAAGCGCCGCGAGGGGCGGCGCCGCCATCCGCGGGCCCAGCAGGCACACGTCCTGCCGCAGGCCCGCGTCCCACAGGCGTATAGCTCCTGGCGGGCGGAGCTCCAGAAGGGATATAAAGGTACGGTAGAGAGAGAAAGCTGCGCTGGTGCAGAGGTTTCCTCGAGCAGCTGAGGATGGGGAGCGAGGAGGAGGAGGAGGAAAAGGAGGAGGGAGAAGGAGAAGGAGGAAAGAGGAAAGAGGGGGAGAAGGAAGAAGAGAGCAGGAGGAAGAGGAGGAAATATAAGGAGGAGGAAAGAGGAGGAGGAGGAGGAGGAGGAGGAGGAGGAGGAGAGGAGGAGGAGGAGGAGGAGGACGGGAAGGAGGAGACGGAGGCGGAGGCGGAGGATGAGGAGGACGGTAGGAGGAAGGCAAGGAGGAGGATAAGGAGGAGGAAGCCATTTGGCCTCTTGCGGGCCAGCCGATCCCGATCGATCCATCGGGGTCGGTCGGCGCCTGCCGCCCGATCGATCGCGGTGGCAGGGCGCATCGCGCATCGGCCAGCCCCCGAGGCCGGGCTCACGCGCGCCGCGCGCCATATTCTGCGGCAGGGGGCCACCCGTGCCTCCCTGTCCCCTGCCGCAGGCCGCGGCGCTCGCGGCCGCGCTGCGGCCCAGCGGCGGGACGCCGCGACATCGCCGAGGAGGAGGTCCAGAGGGCGCTGCCCACCGCCGCGAGCGGCAGCAGAGAGCCCAGGACAGGCCCCTGCTCCGCCTGCGGGCAGCGGCCGAGCGCCTGGCCGCCCACCACTCTGCCCAGCCAGCGATGGCCCGTGACGGTAAGGGCAGAGGCAGCGGTGGCCGCAGCGGCAAGGGCCAGGCCCAGGAGGAAGCAGCACCGCCAGCAGCGCCCCCATGGCGCCAGGAGAGGTGGCATGGCGCTGGCTGGCGAGAGCAGCACTGGCACGCCGAGCCAGCAGGTGAGGACCCGCCCTGGCGCAGGGAGCCGTCGCGGCCACGACGCTCTGGCCAGGCCAGCCCTCGCCAATGGCAGCAGCAGCAGCAGCAGCAGCCCAGTCAGCCTCCCTGGCAGCAGCAGCAGCAGCAGCCCAGGGCGGGCAAGGGTGGCCAGGCCAGCTCCAGCAAAGCGGACCAGCGAGCTCAAAAGGTCATCGACTCAGTGGCGGCCTGCACGCTGGACGAGGCCACCACCCACCCAAAGTGGCAGGCGCCCCCGGCCGACCGCGCAGGCATCCAGAAGTTTCTGAGCACCGCCGACCAGAGGCTGAGGAAGCTTGGCGACCTGGTCATTGCCAAGCAGGCCGCGGGGGA